GCTTTTACTTAAACAAAATTAATCGTGAAAAGACACTTGAAGACCCTCCTTGAATCATAAAGCGAAGAATTATAAGAGCATTTATCTTCTTAAAATAACCCACTAAAGACGAGATCTCGAGGTCCAATGATTTGCTAAACCGCGGCCTGAGTTAGACTTCGTTTAAATAACCGACCCAGTTGGAGTTTAAATGTGGCTCTCCGTCGACTTTATTTGACCGATACTTTTAACGATCCTCTAACGGACGGGAGGCATTGGGTAGAACCGTGTTTACAAACACCAAAATTTCTAAAAAAGAGTAACCGGCCAAAATTATCGGCAGAACCAGGCCAGTGTGAACGGTAAATAGCTCCAGTTCGAGTCCAAGATAACAGCTTGCACGTAGCGATTCTCTTTGAACTTCCTCACAACAAATGCGAATACAACAATTACCTTCAAACATAACCCAACCCAAAGTGAGACACGACAGATATGTATGGCATCCCAAAAACGTTTTGGACGATGTAGGATTTCAAGAAGAAAACGTTTCCAGAAAATCCGGTTGGAAATTAAATGGAACACGACCTTTCTGGTTATTTGAGTGGAAAATTTCCGGGAGCGACGGAACATCTAAAATGGTGGTCGTTTTGCCGTTCGGAGATCTCCAAACGGCAATTCGTGTTCCATTTCTTCAAAGTCATCTTTGATACCAGTTTAAGGCTTTCGCGGCCGTCTTTCGGTAATAAATGAAACCGTGATTTGTGTAAATGGTGAACGCGATTCCGGGAACAAATCAGTTTACTAAACCTGAATTTTGCTCACCATTTTCCCAAACCGTTAACCGACCGGTTTGCCCATGTAAATGGTAAACAACAAAAATTTCTAGTTTCGACAATAACCAAGATTTCAGTTCATACATTTCTTCAAACACATGCACCTTTCAGGCCACGGGTATCCAAATGACATGCTCTGATTGGTCGGCTCTCATGTTTTGCCTTCTTCCTGTCAAAACCCGATTGTCTTTAGTTAATGGCCCACGTTCAATATATTAAAATTCTAGGCTTTCTGGTCATTTTTCTATACTTTGTACTTTTGAGAATTGCGAGACGATGGGATCGAAAAAAATAAGCAACTTGTAGGTCCTCGGAGTCATGTTAGAATTTTAATAAATCGAACGTGGGTTATTGCATGCAAATATATAGTATTAATAAAAAGATCTCAGTCACCATTTCCAAATAGACCATAATGCACCTTGCTTACCCGCAAAAATTTTGCATAACCATTGTCTTCGATTTCTTTTGTGATGACTGATATACCCAGGAGAATTTGGAAACCATGGTTATGGGGGAGAAATAAGGACTGTATTATGGTGAATCCCATTATCCCAGCTAGAGTTGCCCGGCTGACCAAATTAAGAAGAAGACGCGAATGCCAAAACTGTATACACACATATTCCGTGTTTAACGATTGGTATTTCGCTGGTCTGTAGATATGCAGTTCTTTAGCTTTTCAACCGTGGAAGAAGAGGTTGCAGAGGCTATTGCTGAACAACTCTTTTAGCGGTTTGATTCCAAATTGGAAGCGAATTGATGCCCAATGTAGAAAACTGTAAGTAAAGGATTACGTTCGGAAAAAGTTAGGGATGCGTCTGTATGAAATGTTCAATGCAAATCCACCCCGAAGTAAACTGGCAACGAGAGGGTAACTCTTTTGCTTGTGTTACCTTGGCAAACAAGATAATAATAATAATAATAATAATAATAATAATAATAATAATAATAAACTTTATTTTTATAGCTTCTTTATCATTAACTGTCCTAGGCGCTTTACAAAAAATGTATTAAAACTCTAAAAAATCTAACAACTACATATATAAGTATGAAAAATGAATACAAATATATCTATTAATTAAGAAAAAGCTTGGTGAAATAAATACGTCTTTAAGTGTTTTTTGAAAGAATTCAAGGAATCGGCATTTCTTAAAGATGCGGGTAAGCTATTCCATAGTTTAGGTCCTGCGATAGATAATCTTCGATCACCGTAAGGCTTTAGCTTAGATCTCGGGACTTGAAGTAACTTATTAACTAAGTAACTTATGTTACGATGCGCGCTGCTCTATTCTGAACTAGATGTAGGCGGTTCAAGAGAACTTTAGGTAGTCCATATGGAATCGCATTACAGTAATCCAAGTTGGTAGTCACAAAAGCATGAATAATTGCTTCTGTAGATTCACGATCCAAATATGTTCTTATCTTACTAATCATTAGTTAAATGGAAATGACATGTCTTGCAAATCTTTTTAATGTGGTAGATCCATATAAGCACTGGAATCCAGTATCACTCCAAGATTACGAACGGAAGAGGACGGTTGAATAGTTTCACCCCCGACACGAACAAATTCCAATGAGGGACTGGGACGAGATCCTGAACTGAGTACAAGCAGCTCAGTTTTTTCCTCATTTAGCTTAAGACCATTAAGAATCATCCAATTATTGATTTCCTGTACACATATTTCAATGCTAGATTTAGCTGAGGAGAGAAGATCATCACTTCCAAATTTAAATGACACATAGAGCTGAGTGTCATCAGAATAGGACTAGCACTGGTCCGGTTTACAAGCAAAATTTCACAGATAGGGTTACCTTTTTATTTATATCACACGGGTCAACAAAAGGGATCCTCAGACCTCAAAGAGATGGACAAGTAAACAAAATAATTAAACAGAATATTGATTTCAACCATTTCGTTTTATTATTTTGTTTACATTATTGTTCATCGCAGGTATGAAAAGTCCTTTAAAATGGCATTAACCATCCAGGTAAAAATATAAAGGACTTTTAGAAAGTCTTAGCTAGCGCTAAGGTAACCCCAGCTCTCAAGTAGGGCCTTTACCTTAGAACCAAGGTAACCCTGCCTGCCTTGAAATCACGTCGCGTAAAAAAAAAAGAAATGTAGCTCTCAAGCAAGGGTAACCCTAGCACTAGGGTAACCCTCCCTTCTTGTAAACAAGCCCTTAAATTACCTGAGCTAGCACGTATTTCTGCTGTTATTTGTCATTCAAACCTAGCTTTATGTCAAAAAGTAAAAATTTATGAAATTGAGTAAAATCTGAAAACTGCTTGCCTTTAAAATAGCTTTTTAATAGCGAAAAATATGGCCGCAAAGCAAAAGCGATGTAAACGTACATCAAACCACGATATATATTCACTACGTTCGGCTATTTGATAAACTAAAGAAATGCACCGAAAGTGCTAGCGAGGAGGATTATTTTTAACAGCCCTAGGTAGTGTTCATTGATTCGCAAATACTGGCCAGCTTTTGGTGCCTTAATGAAAACTGTCCTGCTCTTTGACCTTGATCTTACAATTCCATGGAAGCCGAGACAAGTGATTTTGAAAGTTTATAGCATTAATTCCTTTTCCAGAATACGTTTACAGACTCTGCAATTTTTTTTTCGGTACAGGAAAATTGCTATACATTCAGCACAGAAGAAATTAGACCACCGCAACAGCCCAATAGATGCCCAGCATAGGCGTCTTGTATTGTTTGTTTGTTCGTTTTTTTGTCATTTGAAACTACGAATACGTGTAGCACACTATATACCAACTTCTATATAGTAAAAAACATCTACATATTAAAATGCAGGTTTCAGAAATCAGTCATTTTCAAGTGCCTTCTTTATTCTAAAGAATTAAAGCCTATACATTATATCATTCAGACGTGAACAGGAACCGATTGTAATGGCTCTTGACGTGATTATTTCATCCTACTTGTCAATGAATTCTACCTAGTCTGTACTACGCTGATCACGGAGACCTTCGAATTATGGTCTTGGCTTTGATGCCATGTAATTAAATGAATTTTCAAATAACAAGGATTCCCACTCACAAAAACTGCATGAGAAACAGAATTTAATGAATTTAATGGAATTCCCAATTACATTTCAAGAACGGAAAACAAGGGTAACCGCTCGTAAAACTGCATGAGAAACAGACTGGTAGTGTATGGTTGAGGCTAAAAGAGATTCACAAGGGATCACGATTAGTCGCAGATCAAGTTTTCCGAAGTTTTATAAGTCGTAAATGGGGTTCAAACGCTTTCAAACATGTCTGTGATTATACAACCGAAGAGAAATTTACGCACAACCATTAGGGATCGTAACGAAAATCTCTGTTGGCCCTTGGCCTCTTAGTGCTTCTGCAAATCGTTTCCAATGTGGTTGATCATCAGAACCCTTATAGCCAACTAAAGCCCACGTGGCGCGATATCCCAAAGGTCGAGGATTTGTTGCTCCAAGGCTTGTCAGCTGGGCGTCAGCAGCCTGTTTGTTGGACTCCGATGCGCCTCCGGCCCACCATGCCTCATCCTGGATCGCTGCTAACACGATCACGTTATTGGGCAGGCCGGTAAGAAATGTTGCCAGTTGATCATCTGCTGTGCTGGAAATATAGGAGTCAAATGCCTGGGAACTTATAAAATGTCCATCTCTGCTTAACACCACTACGTTATATCCTCTTTGCTGAAAGGACAAAGTGAAGCTTTTTTAATTTAGTTCCCTAAATATATTACAAGAAAATATATTGTGTGGATTTATTGGTAGAGCTCTGGACCATCAGTTTCAAAGAGTATAGGCTGGGTAGCTTATAGCTATTGTACTCTGCTATTCATTCTCAAACTATCCTAAATTGAGTCATGAAGCTATTGATTGATAACAAAGTTATCTCGTGCAATGTCACAAGACGCTTACTTGAGATTAACATTTTAATTTTAAAAAATTCCAAAAAGGGGATGCATACTTCTCTTTCTTATTATAGTGAAGCAAGGAACACTGAGATATGACAAACTCTTTCTTCAGTTTTCTCAGACAGTTTCTCCGATAGCCGTCTTATGATTAATCATCACTTTATTTACTACTCACTTTTGGCGACATCTCAACTCCATCCACCAATATCGAGGACGTTCCCGAAAGAGGACACCCTTCAGTTGTAACATCATCAACACTAGCTGAGCAGAGGTGAATGTTGATACCTACCCGGAGATGAAATGGCATTACTCGGTAAAATTGCATGGGAGGACAACGTTCGGGGAACGACCTTTAAGCGCGCAGTGTCAACGCCGGACGTCCGTTTTCAATTATAGAAAGTCAAATTAAAACCGAGGAGCCTGAGAAACAAATTGTAGAATGATGTCCTTCAGGTAAGGTGTCCGGTTTCGTTGGGAATTTTGTGGTTGCCCTCAGGTGAGCCTGATTAGACAACGACAGAGAAAGAGGGGGTGAATAACCGTAGTACCTTATAGTAATGATCACTTTATTACTAAATCATCATCACTGACCGTGAAAGGTCCCCGGTGGGTACTCAAATAAGTTTTATAACGGGAGGCTTCGTGCCGAGGTCCAACCGGGCCCCTTACATTTTAAAATACCGTTTTTGGCAGAAAAGGTATCCCTTTCGTATAATTTTCTTGCACGAATTGTACCCCTTTAACATAACTAGTTTAAAACTGTTCATCCCTTTAAACTGCTGTAAATGCACTGTCTTTTAAATATGAATAAATCACAAAACCAGGCCCCGGCTGCCGTCAAACGCTGGATAGCGCTATCCACCGAATAAATCACTATCCAGCGGATAGCGTAATTGATTTCCGTAATATTTATCCCCTGCCGGGATGGTGATTTATTCGAGGTGGATACCGCTATCCAGCGTTTGAAAAACTGGGGACTTAACGTTTTCTCGACTTTGGTACACCCCATTAATACATCTTTTAGCCCTGTATGATCTTTCACAGGCTAAAATAACAGATTTTCCTCACATTTCATACTTCAACTAGTGAAAACACATTGAACATTGTTCTGGTGAGATCGGACGAAAGGGTTAGGTGTCCGCTACGATCCGAACGTTCACACTGCACCGAAATGTGGCACAGAAGCTAGTGCCCAATATGTGACGCTTCACTTTAGTAGACCTTTTTACCGATACGGCCGCCATATTGAATTTATTAGATTTAAGGAGTGTTATGGGATGCCCAGGGGGGCACTCGCTCAGTATTTACGCGCGCTTTTCTGGCAAAAAGAGAACTTCGCTGTATATTTTTCGGGAAAAAGGCGATCATTATTACATCCATATTAAACACGGCACAACGATTTCTTTTTCCCATTACAATCTTTTTAACCGCCGCCTGGTTAGCTCAGTTGGGAGAGCGCCGGTCTGCCGAGCGGGAGGTCGCGGGTTCAAACTGCCGGACCAACACTCACGGTCTTTAAATAACTGAGAAGAAAGTGCTGCCTTTTTAATGACATCTGCAAATGGTTAGACTTTCTAGTCTTCTCGGATAAGAACGAAAAACCGTAGGTCCAGTCTCACAGCACTTTCACTGATTTGTTCTTGTGGGACGTAAAAGAACCCACATCACTATTCGAAAAGAGTAGGGGTCGTAGACCCCTTTGGTGTGGTCAACCTTTTACGGGTTGTGGGATTGGGTAGGGATGGCACCTTGCATGGGACCTGAGTGTCGTTCGTGCACATTCCCTCTGGGCAGGCCTGTGTCCAGAAAAGCTGGTAAATAAAAATAATAAAAAAAATTTTCTAGGAGAACTTAAAGAAAAATCGGCCCAAAAAGCACGCGTAAATACTGAGCGAGTATATCGGATCCTGCTCATGCCCCCCTGGGCATCCCATAATACTCCTTAAACCTAATTAATTCAATATGGCCGCCGTATCGGTAAAAATGTCCACTGAGATCGACGCGACATACTTCTCTCCGATATAGAAATGGCGCGGAAGTCACCGTTGTATTACTCTAGGTAAATAGAGCTTAAACAGCCAGATATCCCATAGAGAAAAGGTGAAAAAATAAAATGAATACGGAGAGCAGTGAATTTAGGGAGCACTTTTTAATATCGTTCTAACAACTTCATAATGACTGGGAATCACTCACCAGCGCCTGAAACATAAGTTAAGAAAAGATTAAATAAACACTGAATTTTCTTCTAAAAGAACGTTTTGATCATCACGCCATGTAATTACTCTTTTACTTCCAAAAAAGAATTATGGCCACTTCTGATTGTTAGGAAAAAAAATCAACAGCTTAACTAAGAACTAAGCGACAAAATCCTTGGTCAAAAAACTGCACTGTTAAAATTAATACTACGCCAATAATAACTGAGTAGCAAAGTTTTCTCTTGGTTTTGTTTTGTTTTTTTTTTTACTACTACTAAGATTAATAAAAATCAAATAATCAAGCCCTTACGGCGTGAAAGTACGATTATGTTAGAAAAATGATAAATAAAGCCACCAAAAGATTAGCCTAACTTCTCCAAGTTCTGATATTGCGTCCCCTTTCTTTTATATTCCTTTAGAATTTACCTCTTAGAGTTAATTAGTTTTGACAAAGTTATGACCAGATACCAGATCCTATCAACCGTGGGGCAGTCGTTCGGTTAGAGGCGAGAGAAAAAACATGACGGCAGTCTTTTAAAAATTGCGCCTATTTTTTTGCTAATCTCCTGGCTTACTCCCCATGGGTCACTGAAAATGCGTGCGCGTTAATCGTAAAGGTCGCACTGCAACACCGATAAGGAACAGCGTGTGTTGATTTAAAACACCAAAACTAAACGAATACTATGACAAAAGTGAGGTTGGGCTTTTATTCTAATCTAGAGGAGTTTGCAGTAAACAAGTTTTAAAACAGGGAGGGTTCGTATCAAAACAAGGTCAGTTCCAATCTCGCTTTCACTCAAAGGCTGGGGCACTAAGCGCCCAGCTATATAAAATAGTCTATTGCCTTTTAGCTAATATCACCTACTTACAAGATCAAATATGATTAAGGGTGCGTTCGATTGAGCTTATTATAAAAAAAAAAGAAAGTGAAAAACAAAACAGAAAAGAAAAGAAAAGACAGTTGGCTGAATGTTAATATATTCAAGAAGCCCGAGAAAGCTGTTCGCACGAGAGGGTTTGTACCAACTGAAAAATTCCGGAACAAGCAAGCTTTCACGTTTCCCATACTTAAAGAAATATTCCAAAGATTTTCTTTTCTGCTCCAGTAATTACCTTTTTCTGCTGAACGTCTCGTATTTCTAAGCTCTAAATATCGTTCATTTTCACCAACGAAGTCTACCAAGTGGTTTTCTTTGCCGTTTATAATTATTTGTGATTCAATCTTTTAGTGCGACGCAAAGAAAATTCCGTCATTCTGCTCCCTGCAGCAGAATGTGTGGAATAAATTCAACTTACTGATTCCGAATTTGAAATGAAAAGCCAAACGAACCGGTATTCCGGATTAGTCTAACTCTGTATTCCTATTTCTGATATATGGTCAATCGAAAGCACCCTACATTGGAAAGCGTACGTCTTTGGTGGGCTGTATGCTATGGTTCATTACGTGTTAACATATATTCACTTTCAACAGTAACTTTTGAGTAAGGTACGTGTTCCTTGTTACAGAAAGGTAAATGAGCCGTTTTAATACGGACCAGAGCACATCCAAACCGCCTTCAACTTCCAGATTGATGACTCTTGAACGTGAATGCCCTTAGCAGACACTGGAATTAAAAAAAAGGAGGTGGAGTCATTTTAGTAATATTCAGGGAATAGCTTACCAAATCGAGAAAAGAGGACTCAGCGTTGACCAAATAGCAGTTATCAGAGACTTAGTAATACCAGGGAAATAATTCTCTCTGATTCAGTTGAAGCACCGGGCATTAATATACTGACCTCCCCACTTGGTGTTTGCATCGGAATCATGCTCAATATGTGGATTCAGGGTGCTATTGGTGATAGCCAAGTGATTTTCAATCATGTCAGCAAGAATTGTGGTCGACTTTACTTTCGCGGCATTCCACTCACTCAATGCGGCACCTATGAACTTGGTGGAATGAGAAGAACTTTTCACGATCGCGTTCCCATCCTTGCTAACGCCGTACCAGTTGCCAACCGCAACATCATATCCGAGGAGCGAAAGTACGCTATGATGCATTGCTGTGAAAAAAGGAGGGAAAAGTGATTGGGATTGTATAAAATAAAATCAGCATAAGTTGTCCCAGTATTTTATAGACTGTTTGCAGTGACCTAATTTTTCGTAAGATCGTCAGGATCGAGCGCTTTATAACAAGGGCTAATTTAGGCGTGGGCCGAGGGGGTCGCGGCCACCCCTTTTTCTTTGAAGTTTTGTTTTATTTTTATAGAATTCCCAGATAAATAACAAGTATCCAGATGGCAAGTGGTCAAGTGTCCAGGTCACCCTTTTTCTGAATTTTCTGGATCCGCTCCTGTATAATACCGGTACGGGGGCCATCTTGGTATTATGTACCGAGAGGGCGGGCGTCGGGGCTTACATCTAATTTGATAATCATCCAAGATGGCCACCAGTAACGCAAAACCTTCGATCTCGATTCTCGACGATCTTACGGAAAAATAGGGGACTGCGAACAATCTAGGAATTTTACAACAGAATAAATTAATTTCTTTTATGTTTAACCATTTAAACTGAGATCTGGTGACATGATTGTCATCTTCACCTCTCCATCTGTTTCCATTCAAATAGTATCTCTTTTACAGAACTATTGACGGGTAATAATTTGCTTTCTTCATTGGCCATTTTCTGGGGTGATACGGTTAACCTCTCAAAGTGGAAGCCTACTAGACGTTAAATGAATTGAACGGCTTTATAGCTCTCGTGAAAAGTAAATTTTCGGAGTCACAACTAAACCAGTTAGAAAGCGTGGTAACGAGCAGTTGCATTAATATATTTGAGAGTCAATGTAATTAGCATGAAAGTGCTTATAGAAGACACCGTTTTTCAATCTCGTGCTATAGACAGGACCGCCATTTAACGTGGTCATCCGAGTCACGCCAAGGCCTGGCCGTTTGGAAAAGGAAGTACTTTCATTTCTCTGCAGATATATTAAGACCCTGAGTATTGTTCCGACCCCGGGAATCGAACCTGTGATTCTGCGCTCTGCAGTCATGTGCTCTACCAACTGAGGTAATCCTGACGCGGTTTATTCTTAAATGCTTCTTTATGACCACGAAAATCTGGGTTGGGGCAGTACATTAGTAACCGACAGGGTCATAAAGGGGCAGCGCGGCAGCAAGATGGCCGCCAGCATTTTAACTCCGTTAAAAAAAAATTTTAAAAAAAATTATATTTTTCCATCTACTAGGGCAACGTATTAGTTTCACTATTTTTATCCTTTTTCTCTTTAGTTAGTTCTTAATCAATGAATTATCTGTTTCTATAAACATGTATAACCTACAGAGAGAAATAAAACTGACGGCTGCTACTACTACTACAAGTAGAGTGGGGAGTACGTACAGCAAGGGCATCGAGACACCCAAGGCTGGAAACTAAGCCTCGATCATAAGACGAGTCGGAAGACACTGATAGATCTCACTCGAATTTTCGGAGTATTTTGTGTGCGTAGGAGTTTGGAAAGAACTTATTCGTTCTACTTATGGGGTTTACTTTTCAACTCGGTCAGGATAAAACCAGATTTGACTGAGAAAGTTTTAGGTGGTCGGTAGGGCATAACTTAGGTTGCAGAAAAGGGAATATAAAAGAAATTATTAACATGCGTTTAGAGAGCATAACAACGAAGCCTGCAGTCTTTTAAGACTCCTACCTGTCCATGAGGCACCTCTGTCAATGCTGAAGAAACAGGTAGAAGATCCCCTTTTGCAGCTATAAAGAAACATGGTAAAAACAAGAAAATTGTTTAAAAAATGATCGAGTCATTAAGCGCCTGCGTCGCATACGTAATTTAACCCCAGTTAGTAACGTCTGCGACTGAGCAGCGCCGAAATCCTTATTCTGGGCCCCAACGCGAATCCGACGAATTATGGGAAATGCCTTTCGAATTTCTTTTCAAAATGATTGGCAAATCGACAATCTCTTTTTTAACAGGCCAATTATGGCTGTTTCGCAGACGGACCCGAATTAGCCTGAGTTCAGTTTCGTCTATGGCGCAGGCTAATCATAAAGCGTCTTTATTTCTGTTAAGTTAGTTTCTATACTCATCAAGCAGTTCCCCAGATAGCACTGACCTCTTGGCTGCACTGCCACACGGAAATAATAGACTTGTACTTTGTGTAACTGTGTGTTTTCACATGACGTCATGGCGGCCATATTTGTGTCCCAAAACAATGAAACGGCGGCCATGTTTGTGTCCCAAACCGGTCCCGTGGGAGTGGAACTCTTTTCTTATGTAAACGCTTTGTTCCAATAAATTTGCATAGATTCTGGCCACGTGAGTGAAAACTTCACTGTTTAAAAACTCGAAACCTACTTCGAGTTAATGGCGAGGAGAAGTTCCTTTCTAAGTCACTTACCTCTCCAGAGAAAGGCTGCAAGCGTACATAGTGTCGTTGCGTTTGTTCAATAGATATCCACGACTGGTAAACTTCAACGGTCCTGCATGAATAAAATTACAACTTCTTGGAAATTATTATTCTTTTAAACTAAATATATTACAGTCGAACTACCCCTGGCTGCGCGACCACCTATCTAGCTAATCCAAATTTCCAAACTGCGTTTTTAGCTGCCAAAGCAATAAAGCTGGAACCTCTCGTAATCGACCACTTCCATCAGCGACTGCAGAACCTTGGCGTTTTGCATGCAGGTCGCTGGAAGGTTTGAAAGTATTGAACTATTTGTATTTCCAGTCGTTTGCTACTATTTGTAGCGCGTGTACGAATTGAAATTACGAATTTGATTTCCCTGAAATGTATGACACGAAGTCCTATTAAAAATTGTTTGTGTCAATAACAAAGTGCTAGAATCTTGAGATTTTAATACTGTTAATATGAAAGTACAATTTTCCAAGTATATCAGCTTACAGCTTCTAAAGCCAAAACAATGCCTTACAACTTCTCGGAATATGGAACTCCAACGACATTTTCTATTCATAATACATTCTGTAAAAACATAAATGTGTCAAACTGAACTGAAAAACTTGCTTACTAATGTTTTCCTGGTTTTGGTTGGTTAGCATGGACTAATTAGTTAAACATTAGCCTTACTGGCTGTTCAACTTTCCGATTTGACATGTCTGAGTACAAGCAGCTTCTATCAGGACAGGTCAAATTGGACAGTACTCAGCTGGCACTGCATCAGCAAAATTAAGCTATAGATAAGGGCTACGAACTAATCAAATCAGAGAATTTTGTTTGACACAATAATAGAAGTAATAATAATAATAATAACAACAATAATAATAATAATAATAATAATAATAATAAGTAAATGTGGGTAGTGACACGACAAGGGAACAGAAACATTCTCCTTACCTGGAGTAAAAGAGCAATCCAGTACGCATCCGTAAAACTCCAGTTTAAGGGCAATGCTGTTTTCCCAGTCATTAGGGCTAACGCGGACAGCCACTGCTTCTACAGGCACCGGTAGGATAATGACCGCTGGATTGTTACCATTGGTGTTGGCGGGAAAAACCTAAAGTAAACAAGCAGCAGCAACAATTAGTACAAAAATAAAAACCTGAGTGTTCAAAAGGTGCATGCATGAAGAAAGTTTTAATTAACTCTATACAGGTGTAGATTGCCGACAGTTAGCGCTGAAGGCCAGCATGCAAAGATGGTATTTGCAAAAGGCACGTGTTTATTTTCTCGTTAACTTAAAAGTTCCTCCTCTAACTAAGACCTGCATCTTTTAAAACATACTTAATGGGATAGTGGGATAGTTCAGGGATAAACGCCTTCAGATGTTGAGAGGTTTGACTTTGTTTTGCTTTAATTTGCCTAACGATGTTTCCTTACAAAATTCTAGTGTCATGATCAAGCAGCATGCAACAACAAAATTCAGTTGCAAAGTATTTCTCCTCCTAGTATACTCACCGAGAAAACAATGTCTACGCATTTACTGAGACGAGCATTGCAAAAAAAATATTTCAGCATCTGTTTCAGTGCACAACTAAAAGGCAGATAATTACATGATTTACTTTCAGCGGAGGGGTTTCTTTAAACAAACTGTGTCCACTCATGGAATCGCACGGTAGCGATGTGTGTGTAAGAAGTTAAAGCCACCACCCTATCCACTTCGGCGGGACAAATATTTTCAAACTGGATTATTAGAATTTTATTATTCAAAAGGTCATCCCAGGGAAGTTCGCTCACCATGTTTTTGCTGCCCAGCTTGTAAGGTTTAAAAATACGGCCATCTTTGCTGTAAAACAGGAAAAAACTCTTGACGTAGTTTTCTCCATGACCCTTTGTGACAAGCCTATTAATCTTGACTTTGCAAGTAAAATTAACCTCAAGGTACTGGTCTTTTGCCTGCCTGTAGGAAAAAAAAATTCAAAATCACTAATGATTAATCAGGTAAAATTCTAAATCTCCGAGTACCATTATTCGAACTTACTTATCGATCTATCCTACAATGAATCTACATTTCTTCCCCCAGCGTTTCATTCCAGGTCCATATTTTTCTTACCATCTTACTATGTTCCCCAGTTCGTCTGTTCGCTTGTTCGTTCGTTCGTTTTATCAACTCCTACCCGCCTTCCCCACCCTCTCAGCTCCGTTTTCAGTCTGCCCTAGCTTCCAATCATTTGTACAATCAATGAAGTCTTACTGCTAAACTTCACTTCGAATAATCAAAAGCGCACTTCAGGGTCTACAAACCAACATATGACTTACGCAAGCTGGCCATAAGGTATCCAAGTTTTGTTGCCATTCAGTCTTCCCTCATGTGGTTTCCCGCCCATAGCATATGAGGAAGCAGTGATCTGGGAATCAGCAATGCTCCCATCCGTCATACCAAGGGCCTGGTCACATGACCCTACTACAAAATAGCAAAAAAGGAAACATCAATGGCATAGCTAAGAACTGAGAGTAATTGTCTAACACTTTCATTTCATAGTTTACATTTAAGGAAGTCTCTTAAAATACTTTGAGTCACTATTTGGCAAGGTGCAAAAGTACTTTTTTCGAATTGTGGAATTAAAGTTTTAATTGTCTTCATCTGGAATTATTTGCCTTTGGTTTAGTCTTTCGCATTAATTTCCTTATAAGGAACCCTTCGTTCGAGTTAATTATTAGGCAGCTTGCCCAGCGGTATTTTCCTACAATAACGGGTACTGATATCAAATTCACCTCTTTATATTTGTTTTCTTTCTATTTTTTTTCCATCACTCTTCCTGCCGTAAGGATTAGTTTACTGTTTTAATTTTGATATCCAATTACACTACCCTGTCTATTATCCCTCGAGTTGAGTCTTGGTAAAAGCGAATAGCAAATACCCCATTAAGGATTGAGGCTTTACTGGCAGCTCGGTTCAAACTTACGTGGGACATAATACTTGACAGAAACTGTGGCTGGCCCGTCGTTGGTAAACTCGCGAGATCCTGAGAACGAGCTGCATGTTCCCACTGACCCATTGTACTTGACGTTTACATGAGTGGTTAAATCATGTACTTTGCCATCGGCTCTTATCTTGTGCAAATCAATGTCGAACGTTACTTCAAGGTCAATCGTCTCCCAAAACTTCATAGGTCCAAACTGAAAAGGTAAAGTAACCAGAAAAAAATACATGTGCGTCATAAGTGTTAGACCTCGTCAACAAATTCTTCGTCCCGGGGAATCAACGTGACTTAAACGTTCAGGTCTAAAGTCACGGAAGCCAAGAAATTTTTCAAAAACAAAGCAAAAATTCCAGTTGTATCAATTAAGCATGTAGTAATAAAGAAAAATTCTAGAAAGCAAGGCAGGACCTAAATACTTTTCAATTCATAGTTTAAGGTGATAAAAACGAAACAATTATATAGCGCTAAGCAGGGAGGCACAGCTTTTCTCTGAGCGCGTAAAACGTTTGGAATAACAGCGTTGAAATGAGTCAAAACCTGGAATCAGCAAGTACGTTTATAGTACTGGTCGCTCCATGTAAAGGAATTCGGATTCCGGAATCCGGAAATATTTTGCTTATGGAGTCCGAAATCCTGGGCTGTGGAATCCAAAATACAGCTCAAGGAATCCGGAATCCCACAAACTGGAAACCAGAATCCAAGTTCCACTGACTGGAATCCAGTGCCTGGAATCCGGAATTTACGGAGTGGAATCCAGAATCCAAGGCTGTGTTGGATTCCCTAACATGGGGCCAATAAAATGCCGTATTTATCCATAATTTGATGTGTCAATATAACGCAGAATCAACAACTTTATCTCTTTATAACCTTGAAAATCACCATCGTGGTACTGTTGAGCACTTCAGTGATGTTAATGGATTGTCCTTTTGTTTTCCAACTGTTTAGTGTCAAGACAGGGGGCAGAGGCCATTCAATAATCCCACTTTCTATCTCTTCAGTTGTCACGCTCGAATGAGTCAGTGTCAGGCGGAATTTTGTTTGTCCCCTTTTTTAGAAAACAATAACAATAATAATCAGTTTATATATGTTAAAAGTAGAAACGAAATCAGATTATACGTCATGATTAGTAAATCAAATTACTTGAAATCTCGTTTTCCATTCCAAATGAGGTCGGTCTTTTTAGGTGCGGACACTCAAACTGGGACAACTGGAAGAAGATTGTCCAATCACAACGTTTTCTGTAGCCTGCGTAGCAGGCGCTTGGAAGTAGTGGGCACAAGAATAAACGGGCGCACGAGAAGGAGACACGCCTTTGCGTGTCTACCTCGCGCGCGCCCGTTCTCTCTTTCGCCCACTACTTCCAAGCGCCTGCTACGCAGGCTACGTTTTCTGAAAACACAAGATTGTTAAGTTTTCTTTTTTTCTTTTTTTGCAAACGGAAAAATAAAATTCAAGGTTCAACTATGCAACCGTTGAAAACTTTAAAACCGTTTTGCCTTGCCAGCTCTCTCAAGAAAGAGCGATCAAATGTTATTGATCTGTTTGCAAAAAAAAAAAAAAAAAAAAAAAAACTTCTTTTTTTGTTTTTGATAATAATGTGAGTACCAATTTTTTTATATATTCCCTTTATAATAGTCTATTTTTTTTTTTTGTTTATATTTTTTTATTTTGTCTCCATAACAGATATCACATATAATAGAAATGAAAAAAAAAAAACACATATTTAAATCGTAACAGGTGAATACANATCTTCTCAAATCAAAACCCATGTTTTCTAGAGCTTTCCAAAAGGAGCGAAACATTTGATTTTCCAACAAGAATTTCCAGATTCCCCACGTAGATGGTAAGTACTCCATAGTAACCCCTAGGGATCTTTACTTTTCACGAGAGACAAGATGACGTGTCGTTTTACAGAACGGTATGTAAAGGAGTCGAAGAAAATTTATGAATATCAAGTGAAGACTAGTATCCCCGTGTAAATAGAAATACAATTTCTGCAGGTACATAGATATAAGAACACGAGAAACCTATAATACTATCATTTCACTCGAGATAACTTTCAATTAAGGAATTGAAGAGTATACTTCGATCTGGTCAGTAACAATTGCTACTCCGGCCCCACAATACAGATTTCAGGGCTAGTTTGTTTCCAGGATTTTCAGGCAAAATTCCTTCGAATCAAATTTAGTGAATGGGAGTTAACAATCCGAATGAGAATACCATACCCCAATAGTATGTTATAACCGTCATTGTCAGGCCAGAGTGAAACCTTCAAATCTGGTCTGCTGACTGCTGTGTTGATGGTCTTGATCGCCATCTGTGCTGCCCATACGGATTGATTGATGTACTCTGCACCCACGCTCACCCACTGCGCACCTCCATTAGTAATATTGGCATGATTCAATAGCTGCACCTCAAAATCGATCTTGATTTCAGTATTGTTCACAGATGGGCTCCGCGTTATGTTCCCGAGTTCAAAGAACGCTATGTCGTTCAGACCGTCGTTTGCTGAGGACGTCATTGTGGTTGTGTTGACGCTAGAGGTGAGGTGTTCGCTGACTGAAGAGTATTTAGCCTCTGTGAGTCGCATTATTGGGCCGCCAAAGGAGGGAAGTTTGATTTTGGCTCTAAGGGGGGTGGACTCAGGGATGTCTATTGTGAGACTGAACTGAACTTTGCGCCCCGTGAACTGCCAATCTGTCGACCTTTCAAGGCCAAACCTGAATTCTGAGGCCTGGAGAAAGAAGAAAAATGTAAAGTGAGATACAACTGAACCGAAATGCAAGCGATGACTAAAGAAATAGCTTTCTTAAAGAATCACAATCCGGTGTACTTAATTTGGCAAGCGCTGATCGGTGAAATTCTCTCCAGACCAATGTGAAACCTATACTTTTAATTTTCAAACTAACGACCCGACTGGTGTAGAAGGGTCACCTCCCCGCTGGAGAGTCATTTCAGCTCACCTGGCTAGGCGGGTTCTTCTAGGCGGGTCATGATCACCCTTCAAGCCGAGCCAACTTTTTGTTTCTTATATAAATAGTTCGCCACTTTTGTAACGCCCAGGGTAGCTGTCGGTTTTTTTGGTGTGTTTTTTATTTTGTGGTTCGCAAAGTAAGAGTTATAGCCGCGCGAAAGTTGAACCGTGGTTAAAACAGAAAAAGATGGGGGAGGGAGCGAGGGGAGAAAGCCACCCCCATCGTGTTCTTTTTTTATCTTCGGTTCACCTTCATTCACGCGGATGAATCTCTTCCTTTACGAACGCAAATGAAAAAAATAAGCAAAAAATAAAAAAAACAAAAACAAAAAAAAAACGGCAGCTACGCAGGCTAGGGGATGACCCTTCTACCCGGACAATTAATTTTCTCCATATGAACTGGGGCCTCAGAAGGAGAGACGATTACGCTTGAGAAATAAATTAATTTTTTTTAACGATCGCCTTGAAATGAGTCAATTGCATGCAAATTACCGCTTCGAATTCTACAGTGATGTACATCAATTCAAAACTATTGTCTTTCAGGAGTGACGCAATGAATTAAAGGAATACTTCCCGCCTTTATGTTCCTTGACACGTTCTCATGTGTTTTCAAAAAAGAATATTTTTTTCTCCATTTAGCCCTCCATGCACATGTCACAGTGTTTTCGGGTGCAGGACTTTGAAAACGGGTTCCAGAGTGGAGATTTATGAAAACGCCGGATTTTCGTTTTCATGTGGAGGGCCGAAAACGGATCTTCGAATATCAGATGTCATACATCTTACAGCGCACGCTCTATACGTAAAGGAAGCTATCGTATTCGGCTATATTCATTTTAGGGTTTTCGTGTTCATGGGCAAGAATGACTTGACAAGGCTATGTGTACATCTATACGTCCTTTTTTTGAAGAAAAATAGAAAAAAGAAAAGTGTCCATTTTAAAAATAATAATAATAATCCCGAATACGAGTGGATGAGGACTTAGCTTGTCGTGCGAAACGTGCGTGGTTACAAACAGCTATGGTCGCGACTGGAGCCGGGAGATTGTCAAACCTAATTTATGGAGAAATTCAGCCTTCTCAGATCAATAGCCTACAAATACAGCCATCTCTCCTCGCTCCTCGCAGCTGAAAAGTTTCTCAAAACGTCCCTTGCTGCGAGGAGCGAGGAGCGATGGGTGACGGCTGTCTTCGTAGGCTACTTTCTCAGGGATTCACTTCAACCAGTGGGTGCAATTATTTGCCGGTTATTATAAATTCGACTATTTTGGCACTAATTAGGTATAGCCGAAAAAGGCATCTCACTCACCAAAAGGTCCGGTCTTTTGAATTTACAGCATAGTATCAGCTTCTCCTCGATTCATTTTTTTATTACCTCGAGTTAACTTTAATTTAGTTTGGTTAAGACGTGCGTGTGAGACTAAAAGTGAATAATTATGTTTCGAACAAAACTCGAGTAATTTTTGCAATATTTTAATCTGTTCAGTTTATTCCACTTTCCGCTTACTGCGTCTTCTAGCTGATAAGTTTTAAAGACCAGTCGGCCTTAGTTTGACCGTTTTTATCAAATGCAAATATTGTAGACACCTCGTTTTAATCGCCTGCTGGAAATTTTTTAGCATTTTCACAGCGATGTACAGTAAAGAAAATATTACCGGTATTATATTATTTAGTCCAAGTGTCCAGAAAACTGTTTCCCTGCACCTCTAAACTATTGACCCAACTTTGTTTTCAACTGGCCGTGCAGTTAATTGTATTGGGTTGTCAGGCGTTGATGAGATAGTCTTTGGTTTTTAAGGAAGGAAAGTTTACAACTCTCCTAGAAGCCGGTGTCTCTTACTATCTGTTTGTCTATAAACACCCCTCTGCAACAGCCCCCGTGAAATCTATATCTTCACTGGGTTCTCAATTGACGAAAACGTCTCTGGGTTGGTTTATTTTCCACTGGCTTTTTCTCAGTTGTGTATCTCCCATAAAAAAGGAAAGGAGTGGCAGGCCTTAATCTTTACCGGCATGAAAACTTTGAACACGTTTTACATACTAGTGCTGTGGCTAGAAGAACTAGTAAACGATTTACACTTTTTTACTCGAGATTGATTAACTGTTCCCTCTGAACAACGAAATACACTGGTCTTGTAGAAGTCATCATTGTGATAGAAAGTGACCGGGGAAGCAAAACATACACCAGGCGAGTAGAAACAAACTATTCGCCGGGTCTTAACTAGCTGGGAAGCTGGGTAGACTGAATTAAGCCACTGGAACGTCTTCACTGGGTTTTGTTACAGAGGGGTGTTTCCAACCAGAGACATAATTCGTATCTAGTAGTAAGTAGATGTCGTGAAAGAAAATTCGGTAAAGAAAATCCTGATAGATGGATGTCGATGACGCTTAACCTGGATCTGAATATAACAATTCGACGATCAATTACGAAAACATACCTACTAGATAATTACGTAGTCTGCACGCGTAGTGAACAAACTTCACGTTGAGGCTTTTTAACTGATGCTGTAAGTTGCTTTTACTGACAATGAATAATTTAGATACGAAAATTGATCCGAACCATGCAGAAAACACAGCAACTGTCTCTCAAATTTTTAACTTCACGAACAAAGTCCTCAAAACTNAACCTGGATCTGAATATAACAATTCGACGATCAATTACGAAAACATACCTACTAGATAATTACGTAGTCTGCACGCGTAGTGAACAAACTTCACGTTGAGGCTTTTTAACTGATGCTGTAAGTTGCTTTTACTGACAATGAATAATTTAGATACGAAAATTGATCCGAACCATGCAGAAAACACAGCAACTGTCTCTCAAATTTTTAACTTCACGAACAAAGTCCTCAAAACTCAAGAAAGGAAGAGATATAGGACAAAAAATGAGGCAAGCTTACGAAAATAAAATTTGCTTGTTGCGTCGGTGAGCTTTGGATAAAAGTTCAGTATTTATTTAATCCTTGGAATACCGTTGTTGATATGTTAATTCTTTCTAAGATTACCAATTTGCTGAAAAACATTTCATAAAAATGGGAAAATTTTAATCGTAGCAATACATGATGGTCACTGTATTTACAATGTTAACTCAACTGCTGAAAAAGACTAAAACTGAATAATTTCAGATTACCGGCATTAATATTAGTTTAACCACACCAGCGGCTCCTGCATATAATCCTAACTTTTCACGTGACTTTTTATGCTCCAGATAAACTGCAAGTTGAAGCACGTTTCTAAAGACGTTTGTACGTCAGAATACAGCTTACATTTTTCTTTTAGATGATGTTAATCTTTACATAGCATTTGCAAACTACGATATTTCACGGCTGTATTCAACCCATTTTCCGTTTTGTCAGTTTAAACGAGTTTGCTAAATACCGATTTCGGTCAGTCAAAACTGAGATCGCCGATACTTGTCAACGCAGCAATGAACAGAAAGTAAAAAAGGTCTTACCTTGCAAATAGAAACAACCGAAAACAGAGTTAGGAGAAAGTGCATCTTTCTGTGGTGGTGGTCAAACGCTTGCGCCATCCGCTTTAGCTCGTTCAATGTTGCTAACGACAGGTGCTTGACTGAACTGGCAATGGCCCACAACTACTTAATTATTAACGACATTTACCCAATTGTCCGTTAGAAGTTAATGCAACACGGTGACACAATTTTATTCAGACAGCTCAAATTAATTTTACGTGTTTTCAGCAAAATGAGTTTTGCGTCTGCTATTTTAGTTGTTCTCAAATGTATTAGGAAAGGAGAAACCCGACTGTCGCAGATTCCAATTCAGAAGTAAGATCGAACAAGAAATAAAAAGTCCCGCAGTTTTTAGGGAACGCGAGAGTGTTTTACGTTCTTGACATTTTTCTTTAGTTTTATATTGGATTACCAAAACTAGTAAACTTTGGGTTTTTCCCCTATTCAGAGCTTTTACTGTTGTAAGCCCACTTTTTTCAAGGAAGCTTAAACCTTGTTAAGTTCGCGCAAAAATTTATGCTACTAGAAAACACCGCGCAATAAATTTTTTACGCTAATTGTGCAAATACTTAGTCCCAGAAAAAAATGGATAAAATTTAATACCCCACTTGGTTTCTCGCCGTTTTTTTCTTTGTTTAGCAAGACTAAGAGCTACGCGGGGGAGAGTAACATAGCCTGTATAGAAAACAGCCATTTCGCTTGCGGTTTTGCGGCTTTCTTGTTGCCAAGTAGCAGTCACAATGTAATCCGTCCAACTAAAGACAAGCTAAATATGACGCACAGCACAAAGGGTAACCAACGACTGTTTTCCGTAACATACCTGTTTGAAGAACTAAACATTGCCCAGAAATTTCTATGGCTTGAATAAAGGTTACAAAGTTTCTAGATTATTCATAGAGGATTTCCGGAACTTTCCAATTCACATACAGCAAGTTGCAAAGAATTCAGAATATCGAAGCTCAAAATGATAATAGGAGCCGTACGCAGTTCTGACTATATAACAGGATTATTAAAGAGCCTGCTCTGGTGACCTGTGGAACCAAGGGTTAATTTTTTAAAGTTTTTCTTGTATCAAATAAACGATCTTCATCGGACAATTTGAACGTCCATTAAGCGGACACCATTTGGCCGACCCACCTCTATAAAGCAGCCATCAAGCGCTTTCATTTTCGTTTCGTTTTGTAAATAACATTCCGGCGGGCAATTTTAGCGGGAGCACGTAAGAGAACTGCTAAAATTGGGCCTGATCTCAGGTTACACTTACTTTGGGTTTATTGTAAGTATAATGATGATGAAGGAAAATACAGTCCGAGATAAAAGCCGACGACCGATTGTGGACTAGTAATGCTTCTCCCGTT